CATTTTTGATTAACAGATTACTAGATAAAACTGAGCATGTCTCTTAGATTTTGTTTTACACAGGAATTTGCTCTTACTTAAGAGTACATGCAATTCCAAAGGAATCAACCAACCACATTCCCAGCAGGTCAAGGGAGGTGATTCTCCGTCTGTACTCTGCTCTTGTGCACCCCACCTGCAGTACTGCATACAGTTCTGGTGTCCCCAGCATGAGAAGGATGTGGACCTGTTTGACAAGGTCATGAAGATAATCCAGGAGACCTTACAGCAGCCTTCCAGTACCTAAAGGAAGCCTACAGGAAATCTGGAGAGGGACATTCTACAAGACATGTAGTGGTAGGACAAGGGTGAATGGCTTAAAACTGAAAGAGGGGAGATTTAGACTAGCTGTTAGGAAGTTCTTCACTGTGAGGCTGGTGAGCCACTGGAACAGGTTGCTCAGGGAAGTTGTGGATGTTCCATCCCTGGAAGTGTTCAAGGTCAGGCTGGATTGGGCTTTGAGCAACCTGGTCTAGAATCATAGAACATTTAGTGTTGGAAAGGACCTTAAGATCATCTAGTGGCAACACCCCTGCAATGGGCAGGGACACCTCCCACTAAACCATGACACCCAATGCTCTGTCCAACCTGGCCTTGAAAACTTCCAGGGATGGAGCATTCACACCATCCTTGGGCAACCTGTTCCAGCACCTCACCACCTTCACAGTAAACAACATAAGAGATCAGTAACAAATAGGCCATAATTTAGTTGTAAGTCAGATAAATTTTAAGTCTGATAAATGTACACACGCATCATGGAGTTAAAAAATACTTGGAATCAATAGTATTTACTTTGTAGGTGCATTTTTTTTTTTTAATTTCTGAATTATTTAGGCATGTCATATTAAGATCATAAATATGGGAAACAAAATATCTTTGTTTGCTTTTTATTCAAAGGACCAAGTGGACAGTCTTATGACTTGCTCTGTTAAAATATACACTTAGCTTTATTTAGCCAGGTTCATGAATCAACACACACGGAATCCCTTGTGTGCATGCAGCACGTATGTTGATCTATACATACAGCATAAGTATAAGGAATCTTCACAGCTCAGAGATCAAGAATTCATTTTATCTTCTCTGAGCTGACTGTTGCTCAAATATACATCTAATTAATCACACTGACAAAAGGTAGGAGCACAAAGCTGGATGAGAAGCACAGATCTGCAGGCAGGGGAAATTGTCACATCATGCAACCCAACAGCAAAATGCAAGTTCTGCTGTGGCCAAGCAGCCTTCCAGGGTCAGCACAAACAGATGGGCAGCTAAAACTAGTATGGTAGCAGACTGGAAACAGTAGCCCAGCAGAAGTGAAAGCTTGCAGGGGTTCTCATTTCAGGCAGTTGCTCAGGCCAGTTGCTCCATTGCTTACCAGTTGTAGCCAGAAGTGCTGGGGCGAAAACCACCGTCCCAGCCCTAACATCAGTTTCTCTTCCATGTTTTTCACCATTAATTTCTTGTGAGGTACCTGTAAGTGCTGCATTTCTCCTGTTTCTACAGCAATCCCGGCTTATTTTAAAGGGGTCCTTGTGACACCACATAGCCCTTTAACTTCGATGTGTTTGGGCTCCTGAGAGAAGAGCCACCACATGTGGTTTAGGCATAGAGGGGAAAAGAAGGAGGAAGAGAAAAAATGAAAGAGGAAATGGACACAAGGAAAATAAAGGAACCCAGGTATAAATCATGAAGCATTTGCTGAGAGTGTGATAACATCGTACCCTAATGGTACATTAGAAAGTCATTAAATTCCTGATCTCACACTTAAAACTTTAAACAAAATTAAATCTTCTGATTTAAATCAGTCACAAGCTAGGAAATGAAGGCTTAAGAATGGGATCCTTTTAAAGGCATTTTATTCAAGTTTGGTTTATCAGTATACTTACGAGGAGCAAATGTGCCCTCTGCAAATTATTCACATCATGAAATCCCAAGTAGTCCTGCCAAGACCTGGTGATAAGTTGCTATAACAGCAGCTTGGGGTTTGAGAAAAGCACTTTCCTTCACACTCATGGCAACAGGTGACCTAGTGGTAATGACATCATTAACACATTTCACCTTTTTAAGCTCTCCCTCTGGTGTTTTACTTATACTAGTTTATGGAGGAATCATTTCATTTTGGTGTTTCAGGTCTCTTGAGTTCTTAGTGGTATGTTTAAGAAAATAAACAGAAAAGTGGAAGGATACCATCTTCTGGGATATATGATTTGGAAGGAAACCATCTGATTCCATTAGCAGATTCAGTCTTTTAAGAAGAACTTGGGAATTTTTATAACAGACCAGATAAGATTGCAATCAATCTATTTCATTTTTCCCTTCAGGAACTGGTAATACCCACTTTTTAATAAGAAGTTATTGGGTACTTGCCACATTTTTAACAGATTCTCCAGACAGATGTTTGCTTTTCTTATGCAAATGTAGGTATTTATATTAAAAAAAAAAAGAAAAAAAAGAAAAAAGTGTCCCATTTCCTTATTTGACTGAGTCCCATGGATTCTTCATATGCATGCACAAGGACCCTTTGCTACTGTTGTGGCTATGTGGCTATGTCTCTATGTCCTTTTCTATGGACACTTTAGGGTACTGATTCTTCAGAAAATATTACTAAATGAGTTGTTTACCTCTTCTTTTCAAAAGCTATCATTCCTACATGTCTGTTCTTTTATGATGTAAATACAAAAGAATCTGTTTAACAATGGTAACAATAACTTCCTACAACTGAGATTTTTGTTTACAAAAACATTTGTCCTTGATAACTTGCTCCCTACAGCAACAACATGAAAATAAAGCTATTAACTCCTGAAAGTTATTTAAAAGAAGAAAAAAAAAAAAAAAAAAGAAAACCCCAAGTGACTGGTAGCAGAGCCTATAGCAGCAAACAGTACAGTATGTGGGAGCATTTCTGAACCCAAGGGGGCCAGATTCCATCTCCATTGGCAGCAGCTGGATGTTTATCACTGAATTCAAAAGCATCAGGCCACCGCTCCCAGACTGAAAGAGGCTTTTAGATGGGATTTGTGATGAATATCCAAACAAACCTGAGTATTTGACACCTTTGTTATACTTGAACACTACAACAATACAAACCAGAACTGGGTTGTCTCCAGAAGAGAAAGAAGTAATTGCTGTCTTCAACTACCGAATGGGAGGTCAGAGAAGATGGGAGACAGACTTCAGGGAGGTTAAACACTAGACAGGAGGCAATGGACAGGGGTTGGAACAAGGGGAATTCCAAACAGCTAGTAGGAAAATTTGTGTCGGTCACGGCAGTCAAAAAATGAAACTTGTCCGAGGAGGCTGTGGAATCTCTACCCTTGGGGATGATCAAACCTTGGCTGTATATGACCCAGAGCAACCTGATCTGAGCCAGGGAAGGGAAACGAATCTGTTCATTTTTGCTTTTCTACTTCGATAACTTATGTGACTTGAATCTTGTTTGAAAACAGCACAACAGTGCAACAAAACTTGCTAATAAAATGGGGTTTAAAAATATTTTTGTTGTTATAGCTAGTAAAATTAAATGTACCCTGTGATTGTCCACACCAATTATCTCTGCTTAGGTCTTGTGTTCTACTGTGGTTTTTTTTTTTTACTGTACTGGGGAAGTAGAAGCAAGATCAAGTCCACATCAAAGGAATGAAACCAAAAATTCTATTTATGGTATGATTGTGGTCCTCAAGTCTGAATTTAGATTATTCAGAAGAAAATTAACTCTATCCCAGCCAAAATCAGGACAAAGCTACTAAGTCTATTCTAATCAGTTCTTCACATGGCATAAACTTGTGTAGGCCTAGCTGAATCAAAATGGTGTTACACCAATTTGTGCATGTCAAGGATCTGGATTTATTGCACTGATATAGCAGTAAGTGCAGTTCTGTGTTCTTGGTACAGAAGCTGGCTGGAGCCCATGAACACACAGGTTACAGGTCCACCACGAAGCTACTGGAGGGCAGACATATGGCACATTCACTGCTACGGTGGTTTTGCCCACTCTTGCTATTTCCAAGGCAAATAAGAGATGTTCTGTACCTCCATCACCAGGCAACCTACTTCCTTTGTGGCTGAAGTAGGAGCAGATGTTCCAAGCTAGCTCCTTGCAAGTTGATCTTTAAACTAATTACTGGCCATTTGGTCATTAATCCATACTTTTTCAGGTTCAGTGTGGCAAAAAGACAGTATCAGAAATACCTTTACAGACTAGAAAATAAAACAAATCCTTGGTCTCCAGGAGCTTAACAAGATGAGCAAATGTTTCCCACTGGCATGTCTTGCTCTGGTCACACCAAATTCCATGACACCTCTTGAGAGGCAACTACCTGCTAAGTTTCATTGTTCTTTTGACACATGCTTCATAGTTCTGCATCTTCCCTGGGATTTTTAGTTTTACTAACTTAGACCAGGTAGTAATAAACAGGACCTTCAGTACAAACAAGAACATTAATTCTCCTATGCAATGATGGACTGCTTTAAAGATAAACCTTTTATAATGCAAGTAAGAACCAGTGAAGATCCTTGTTTACTACAAATATTTTGGTTTTTGCACTGTATCAAGTGTACCTCCATCATTTTCTTCTCCACCTCTCTACAACACTGAGGACAGTCCCTTACAGCAGAAGGATGCTAGCCATGTTTTGGATCCCTCTGCATACAGCAGATAATCCAGAAGTCTTCACAAGATATAGGGGTCTTTCCATTGGCTGTGATATGTTCAGTCCTCTGGGATTATCCTGACATCACAAGAGCCACCAAGTATGAAAAAACATCAAAATCATTCTTACGACAACTACTTTATAATCAGAAATGGGAATGTCCTGCCTAGCTGACTTTTTCATAGAGCATAATCTATAGTTGGAGAGTTTAAGTGCCCAGGATAAGGGACCACGTTTTTGTATTTCATGAACATTGCAAAGTTAAAGACTTTATTTAGAAGAACTTCATTTAAAAGAAAAATAGTAAATGGCACATCATGTAATTGCTATTTATTTTCATAAACATGAGGTATTTCAAAGTGCTATAAGATGCAGCACTAAATGTACATCGTTGGAAGAAATTAAACACAGAACTTTGCAGTTACCCAGTTCTATGCACCAAACATTAACAAATACATTAACTGGAAGAAACAGGCTAGGAAAAGGCATATATAGTAAATTTCTTTACAAAAGTTTCTTAGTCCAAAAAAGTGATAAAGTAATATCTACTCAAAACTTTCACAACTCATTTTCATACGAAAATATAAGTATCAAATTTAGTTATGTATCAGCATCATACTAAAGTATACAGGCAATGTAAGAATTAGTACAGTACATAACAGAGATTAACAATATATTTGTATACAAAAACATGCTCCTCAAACATTGAGGTATTACAGTACTTAGGTATGAACTTCCAGTCTAATACTGGCAGCAAAAGCCACCTCTCATAACCCAAGACATGTACAAAAGGCAAGTGTGTAGATGGTATTTACAGAAAATTCCCACAGGGGCACAAAATGGCAACCCCTAAAGTAACATCTGTTAGAACATAAGCACCATAAAACTTAGGAATGAACATTTTAAAACTCAACTAGATGTCATCAGCAGCTCCAAATGCTCACAACAATTAAAAAAAAAAAAATCCCCACCATCTACAGTTCTTAAGAGGAAAAACAAAGGCAGCCCGTTGTTGTTTGGTAGTCTTGCAATAAACTCCTTGCAAGAACATCCGTTTGCTCCGTACCCGGATAATATAGTTTGTCGATTACTTCAGGGACTGGATTGAAAGTAAAACCAACATTCTTAACGTCAAAAAACACAATTTTTTTTTAAAGAATCAAAAATGTGCAAAGTGGCAATGACTGTCCTGGTCAGCCAAAACAAAAAACAGTTTAGCAAGTCCGCTTGTATTCTATTTTCTTTAGTAATTGTTCTTGTCTGGCTCGCAATTTTTCCTTTTCTAGCAATAACTTCTGCTCCTCTGCCTGAAGGGAATGAACGTATTCAGTGGCTTTTTTCAAGATCACAACTTTTGCAGCTTTCTCATTTTTAACCAGTTCTGGAACATGGTCCCTTAGTGTGAGGAAGCTTGACCTTAGATCATTACGCCGCTGCCGCTCCAGGATGTTATGGTTGCGTCGACGTTCGCTATCCTCTGAATCAGAGTTTCGAGGACTTGAACTCTTAGACTTTGGTGGGACTGTGGGTTTTACTGGACGGGGCACCTCAGTTTTTAACTTTTTCTGTGGTGGAGCCTCTTCACTGTCCATGTATGGAGAAGGAGCGGCATAATTATGCTGCTGGTGAATTGGTGCACAACGCTTTAAAATCAGTTCATTCTGCTGTGTCCTGACTGATGGAAAAGTGGTATTTTTAGGACGCACTGTGATAGTAAGGGTGGTAACAGCCTTGTTGGAGGAGGAGCGTCTTTTCTCCACTGTCACAACATCTATTTCTTCTTCTTCATCCTCTTCCTCCTCATCTTCATCATCTTTTGGTAATGGAAAATAAACGTTATTTCTCACAGAAAATACTCCAAACAAGTATCAACCCAGGTGTATTTATTGACAAAGTATGTACAGTAAAAGGAGGAATGCAATAACTGATGGCAAAACCAGGGCGTGCCTACCATCTGTAGTCAGATATAGATCTGGTGAAGTATGTAATATACACGAATGACTGAAAAAGTGTTTTCCCCAAGTTTATCATGAACACTTTGATTCAGTCGAAGTGGAGCTACCACCCACATAATTACAGTAGCAGAAAAGAGATGTTAGGCAGAATGTATGTATTTCGGATGGACTTGTACAGCTGTGGTACAAAAGGCATGCCCTGTGCCACAACACAGCCCCTGCTTGCTAGAAAAGCAGCCGGAAAAAGAAACAATCGCTGGGTTTGTTCTGAGGCAGAAGGTGAAGCTGCTCCAGCCGGGGACCCTTTAAGCCGGCGCTTGGTGCACTGCCAAGAAGACAGCTGTTGGAAGTGCTTCCTCACCAAAAGCTGTCAAACCCAACATTAAAGGGACAGTAGGCTTTGAAACCGGTACGATCACCAAGTTTATGGAGATATGGTCATAAAGACCAGCTGATCCACACACACGAAAACGCGTTTCAGCCCAAGTGGGCTTCTCCGCAGACACGCACACGAGAGATGTGGGGTATTTTAGCGTCTGTCAATGGAAGCATTAATGTCTCACTAGCCTCTTCCAGACTTCCCAAATCCCTCCTAAAGGCACACACGTCCCCCGGGTGACAGTGGCAGCCCGCTCTGATTAACAGCCCCGACACCGCCGCTGGGCTGGTGCGGGGCTGGCTACCACAAGGAGCAAGAGGAGGCACGGCAGTCCCACGGCGCTGCTGCCGCCAGGTCAGGGGCGCGGCACCCGCTCGCCAGGCCCCGCCGCTGCCGCCTCTCCTGCTGCCGCCTCTCCTGCTGCCGCCTGCCGGCCGCCCCGCCCGGCCCGGCCCTTCACGAAGGTGCCGCCGGCGGGGACCGAATCGGGGCGCAGCCCGGAGGCAGCGCCACCACTCCCACCCCTCCCCTCTCCGCCCCTGCCGCGTACGGGAGCGCTTACCCGAATCGCTGAGTGTGTCGTCCCCGGAGCTGCTGCTGGCTCGGCTGTCCCCGGCGGGGCGCGGAGGGCGGCCGCTCCGCGGAGTCCCGCCACCCACCGCTACCGCCGCGGCGCGGCCTACCGCCGCCTCCCGCTTGTTGACGGGGAAGGGGAAGACCACGGCGGGGTCCACGCACTCGGGCACGGTGCCTCCTAGCTCCGCGCGGCCGCTGGCGGTGGGGCTGCCCGTAGCTGCGGCCCCCGGAGGAGGCGGCGGGGCGGCGGCAGCAGCGGTGGGCGCCTTGCCCTGCAGCTTCTCGCTGACTGCCCGCTCCAGCTTCTCGCGGGCGGAGAAGCCGCTCCACATGCAGTCCTGGATGATGATGGAGTTGAGGTTGTTGGTCACACCGAGGCCCGTCTCGAAGAAGTCCCCGCCGTCCGAGCTGCCCCACAGGTCGGCCTCGGGGGGCAGCAGAAGCAGCTCGGACGCCCAGTCCAGGGGGTCGGCGGGACGGCAGCCACCCAGGGCCGCCCCTCCCCACTGCCCCGGCCCCCCCCCGGGGGGTTGCTCCTGGAGCCCGGCCCGGCTGGGAGACAGCGGAGGGGTGGGCAGCAGTTCAAACTTCTTCCAGATGTCCTCCCCGGGGGGAGCGGAGTCCGGCCCGCACAAATAAAAATCATCTTCGTCCGGGTAGAAACAGGGCTGCAAAGAGTCGAACTCGAGGTCTGGGTTTTTACTGACCATTCCTGGCATTACGGGTCTCTCTTTGCTGATCCTTGGGTCGGGCAACAGTTTCAGAGACAGGTTTTATGGGTATTTCCAAAGGGAAGAAGAGAGGTTCTCCCAAGATCTGAAACTAAACCAAAAATACAAAAGTACAAAAAATTAAACCACGAAGGAAAACACAGACATGAATGCGACTCCCTCTTAACCGAAGGAAAAAAAAAATATCCCGTCATTAACAGCAAGAAAGGGGGAGCCTTTTGCAAGTTGAGTTAAAACCGCCTCTCACACACCTTTCCTCCCGGTTTAAGACACTCGGAGCAGGGCAGTCAGGGAGCACTCCCGCAAGCGGGGCTTCCCGCCACTCCGTCAGGCCGCATGCCCGGCTGCGGGGAACCGCTGGGTACGGCGGGGTGCAGAGCACCTCCGGGCTTCCTGCCGCGCATAGCACTCGCCTGCTCTCCCCGAGTTGCTGCAGACGCTCACAACGGCGGAGTAACTGCAGGCAGATGCGAGGCGTTGATACCGTAATCTCTCCAGAGAGCTCTTTTAATATGCCAACTAAAGTGGAGGAAGTTTCCTCCTTTTGTCGTCTGCGGAGCGGTGCAAAGGGGAGAGGGAAGGATGCAAAAAAGGGGGCGGAGGGGCTCTTTGCAACTTCGCAAATCGCCAGTTCATTCACTCAAAGCGAGCCAGAGCAATCCGCACAAAACACAAGGCGGGGGGGGGGGGGGGGGGGGGGGACAGGAGGAGGGGAAATTTAGCAGCAACAGAAATTATCAACCTTATGTAATAATCTCACGCACAAAAATGCATTAAAACCAGCCTGGAGCCACCAACAAAGCCTCCTGAATTGCTAAGAAGGTACGGGAAGTTTTTCTGCCCCTTTTCCCTGTGCAAGCCAAGAGCAGCGGGAAGGCTGCAAGGACAGCAACTTTGAGCGTTCTGCCGCTCCGGGCACTAGCAGCTCACGCATAGCCCCAGCTCTCTAGCCCCCTCGCCGCCCCTGCACACACGCTGCTTACCCTTACCTCGGCCGGACCCCCCTCGCTAGCCACGGCCGCTCAACCACAGCTCCATTCCTCCTCTGAGACCTCAGTTGCATCAGACATTAAAAAAATAAAAATGACTGAAAGTCCGAAAAAGACATTCAGCGTCTCCCTTCCGCTCGGTTACGGTACAGCAAACAGAAAGGGCTCTGCTGGGTTAGCAACAGCTGACGGTGAACCGGAGACCAAAAACGGGAGGGGAAAAAAAAAAATCCATTAAAAGCCTTATGATGAAAAGCACAGAAACCAGCCCGGCTCAGCTGCGCTCCCTGCCCCGCCCCCTGAGCGCCGCCAGTTATTGTACATTTTTCTACTCGGGAAATACATTAAACCGGTTAAAATGCAAAGCAGTAAAAGAGGCACCTACAAAACAGAGGCGATCTCAGCGCGACAGCTCCAAAACAAAACACGAATATTCTCCAGGATTTTTTTCTGCTCACTGAACGCCCCATTCGCGCCCCGCAGTGCCCCTGCGCCTCCTTCCCCTTCCCATCCTCCCCAGTCCGGCAACTCGAACGCGATAGGGAATTGTATTTATTTGATTAGGGTTTTTGTCCTGCAGCCCATACCCTGCAGCTTCCTCTTCTTACCTCCTTGGTGATGGTGGTGGGTGTTGCAAACGGGGGAGGAGTGGCAGGGGGGAGGGGAGAGGGGAGGAAAAAAAATAATTAAAAAAAATAAAAAAAAAAAAAGCGCAGATGATCTTGTATGTTACACTTTCCTAAGCGTCAGCCTGCCCGGCCCCCGTGGCTGGCCCAAGCCTCCGCATTCACCCCGTGCTTGCAGACAGATGACTGTCCCTGCCGCGCTTTGAAGCTGCTGGATATTATTAACCCCCCAAAAAAGCATTAAAAATAAATAAATAAAAAGGGAGAAAAAAAATAAAGCTGACACACCCGGGGACGGGAGCATTAAAAAAACCCAGTGCCCAGCGAGCGCGGCTAACCCCACCCCCTAATTTCCATACAAGCAGGGAGGTGCCTGGCATTTGGCGCCAAAAGCCCCATTCGCTCTTTATTCTCGGCGATCACAGCGAAGTCCCGCTCCCAGTGCAAACCCGCCCGGCCCGGGGCGGGGAGAAGAGAGGAGACGGGACGGGACGGGACGGGACGGGAGGGCGCCCACCCGCCTGCCAGAGGGGGCCGAGGCCACCCCCCGACCCGCGGAGCCCGCCGCTGCCGCGCTCCCTTTGTGTCACCCCCGCCCCGCGCCGACCCTGCCCCTGGGCCTGGGGGTAAACGTCCCCTCTAGGAGAGCGGTGACCCCGCGGCCACCATCTCCCGCGGAAACACTCGGGGCAATAAAAACATAAAAATGATTAAAAAAAGGGATAAAGGAAGCGGCCGGGCGAGACAGTCGCTTCCACTCGGGGCTTTGTAAATAAATAACCCTGCAGCCGTCGCTTTCCCTCAGGCGAGCGGGCTTGCACGCCGTGCCCAAGCGCCCCCCCGTTCCCCCCTCTCCGCCGCCCGGCACGGCACGGCACGGCACGGCACGGCACGGCGCGGCCCGTCCCGCGGCACAGCACAGCCACACTGCGGGGCTCCGCTGTTCCGCTGCCGATGGCGACACCTTGCGGAGGGCCGGCGGGAGCGGCGCTCTCCCGGCGCCCCTACGCATCCCCCCGGCGGCGGGGCACCCACCGCTCTCTCGCCTCCTTTCCCCGCCGCGGCGGGGTCGGTCGCGGAACGCGACACAACGGGACGGGAGTGCGACGCTGTCCTCGGCGGTGCGTGGCGGCGGGTGCGATCCCGATCCCGATCAGGGCGCCGCGCGGGGCGGTGCCTACTCGCTCATAGGCTGCAGGTTGAGGCGGGGACTTGGGCGTCGCTCGCAGGAAAGCTAGTAGCGGCGGGCCGACGCTTTGTGTGCGGCGGAGGGGTTGTTGCGGGTGGGGTGCCGCCTTTTGGCCTGCCTCGGCCGGCGGTGGGGGCGAGCCTGCGGCCTTCGAAATTGGTGGCCTTGGAAGGCACGACCGGTGGTAGTGTTAGAAGAGGTGGAAGTGCCTCCCGAGAGGGGGCAATAAGCCCTCAGGGCAGCAGGGGTAGTCTGAAGGCCGGTTCACCTAGTCCCTTCGCCGGGTTTTGGGCCGGCTGTGCCGGAAAGCCATGCTTCTCGCATGTGGTGATCCCCCCTCGCCTCCATGTCACACCTGGGTGGCCAAAATGTGGAGGTTCCTCCAGCTTTACAGTGTCCTGAGGTGGCCTCGGTGCCTGGTGTGGTCCTGATGCTGGCTAGTGTCTACGGCAGCAGGAGCACTGGGCTGGGCACTTCGGAGCAGGCTGGCTTGTGGCATGAGGCTGCTGGAGGCAGTAGTTGGCCTCCCTCTGCAGGCTGTGGAGGTTGGGCTGGCTTACCAAATGAGACAACTGGTTTGAAATCGCCTTAGCCAAGGTAGTGAGCTTCTGCTAGACTGCTCCCGCAGCTTGCTCCTGCCTACCGGCATGGAGGTAACTGGTTGCAGTTTTGCTGAGGAGCGGGAAAGGGACCTGGAAGGCAGATCCACTGTACCAGCGGTTCTGGGCAAGCACGACTCGAGCAGGGCACACTGAAAGAGACTTCTAGGTAGCCTGCTATGAGTTAAAACTTGGCTGGGGGGCAATAGCTGGCAGTAGTCAGCTGAGGAAGGGGCAGTTCCTGCTGGGGATGCAGCCATCCTTTATGGCAGAAAGCTGGAGAGATTTGTGAGGCCAGGCTTGCCTGAAGTTTGTGATTGGCCTTCACTCCTCTAATGCACTTTGGATTCAAGACAGGGGAATTCATTGATTAGCTAATGTGTGCTCGGTACTTTGAAGATAGGAGATCTTATGAAAGCCCTAAGCTTTATTAATTTCTGTTTGGATTATTTGACTGGACAAAAAAGATGTGGGTGGCTGGGATTTTTTTCCCCTTGCATTTCAGTAGCCTTGAACAGGTTGCAGCTTGTGAACAGACATGAACAGTTAGTATGTGTCTTGCTGAACGTGTGAACAACTTATTTATACTCATCAATCGAGGACCTTCCTCAAATTAAGCAATTATATAAGTTTTGCTCCTTTAAAGCAATCCTTTTTGTCTTTCACATTTCCTTTAATGTCTTTATACATGCAAATATTGATACGTCCATACTTTGACCATGGCTGCTATCTGATTTATTGTTAATTCATTATAAATTATCAACTAGATTTTCTCAGCAGCCTCTTTAAAAATTTTCCTTTTTATTTCATATGTATATGTGTGGAGATAAAGCTCTCAGCTTCTGTGGAAGTTCTGCTGTGTTGTGTCACATCTTTTGTAGTACCTTGGATGAGAATATTAACGAGGGGTAACACATTCAAGACAAAGTGTTTAAAGTAATTTTCTGCCAAACAAAAACCAAAAGCCCCATTAAAGAGGAAATGAAGTACAGTATGCTGAGAAACATTGCTGTTTATGAGCACTAGCTCTGTTTAGGTAAAAAGATCTGTTAAAACCCCAGATCTATTGCTTTGTCTTGTATGGTTGAGAAAGACATAGAAAACATTGTGCAAAGCTTTGGCAAGACTGCACCAATCTTTGTGCAGACACTTACTTCGGGCTATTTTATCAGCATTTGTTTTTTTTTTGTTCTGATCCCTTCTGTCCCTGAAATGACATATATCAAGAAGCAGCAAGGCAAATGGAAGCCTGAAATTACTTGGGGTTATTGTGAATTTGTTATTATGTCATTTCACTGAAAAAAATTGGGAATTAAGATGTGCTAATACTTAACATATATAACTGGGTCCCAATATATGGGACTTAAGATGTGCTAATACTTAACATACATAACTGGATCCCAATATACACCAGTTTTGTAGTAAATATTTTAAAGTATTGTTAAGAATTTGCTATCTGGAAAACCAGAAAAAGAGGTATAAAAGGTTAAAAGATACTTTTTGCGTATACACTCGTAGAGCCTAACTAGATCCTGTGGTTTTTAATTTGGCCTAACGATGAGCCTGACAAAGCACTGTGCTGAGCTTGGATGTACACACCTGGACATAATACATGGGTGAGTTACTGGTGTTCAGGGCTACTGAACTTTTTCCCCTTTGTCTTTATTGATTCATTAAGGAATGCTGTGTAAGGCAAATTTCTGTGGCCACACATATCTCCCTTTTGCCCTTACAGCCTGCAACTACTGAGATCAAAAGAAACAGGACAGTATTATTTAATCCATGTGCAGTTGTCTTCCTCAGAGGCACCCAAACTTTAGCACAATTTTGAGTTTTCTTTGCTAGTCAGAAGTAATGTATATACTCTCATGATTCCATGTTAAATTGTAGAAAAGGTTTATAAAGGCTTTCCTTAATCAGTCAGGCCGGAGGTGCATGTTCTGAGTACGCTTGGCAAAAGCATGACAGAATCAGAATGATTTATCCTTGTTCTGTCTCAACCAGCAGAAACGACGTGAAACTCTCTGCATAGGGCTAGAAAGGATGTAAGTATGAACACTCATAGACCTGGGATTTTTATATCTTTGTCTTAAACAAGGACCTGATACACTACCTATTAGCAGTAGTAACATTTTCAGGTGGATTAAATGTTTGGAGGTAGCCGTTAAAGTTAACAGTTACAGAAGCTGCCAGATTCAGAGCAGCAGATTTATTCCAGCATACCTTTCATTAAACTTCGTAGGTAGCTGCACGGTTCACTGCTGTGTAGCTGCTGAGTGTGAATTATCTAAAATATTTCTCTTGACACTCTTCCTGAAGGTAGTGTGGTATTACTTTTACCCTTATTTAGGTGACACAGGATAAGGGACTTGCCCAGTGTCACACATGGAAATTGAAGCAGATTTTCCCACTACACTGCCTGTAACAATCTGAGGTAGCTATTGCTTTCCCACAAGCTCTGGCAGACTGCATCTTCATTATC